AAAAAAAAAATTATTCTAGGAACTAAAGCATCTTAAAACTTACACTGTTGCAACTGTTGAAATATAAAAATAACTTCCAAAAATCTACATTGAAGTTTTCAGTGATATACTAGCACCCAGTTGAACATGACTAAGGGAAAGGGGAAATGAAAACGCTCAAGAGAAAATAAAGTTATTTCTCAAACATACAAGATTTTGAAATTGTGATTGAGACCACCAACACTATAACCCAGAGCTTCCTTGAATTGAGATGAGGGTCTTAGAAAGGAAACCAAAGCATGTCTTGTCTAGTGCCACAAAATAACTTCTCTGGAAACTAAAAAATTAACACACTGTAAATCAGTTCTTTTATATCTTTCTACAGACTAGGAGAGATTATAGATCCCACAAAATACAAATTAACATAAATTAATAAATCACTAGGACATTAAGCTTGTCAATAAATAACTTTTGTTATTAATTTCTATCAATCAGTAAAGTATTCCTTTATAATCTTCCTCCATCTGAGGCCGAAGCTGAGTGCTTCTCATAACGGCTTGTTCTTTCCATGTTTTTTTTGGGCATCTGCCTAGAACACCTGAAGAGTTTTTGAAAAGGTAAGCACTTATTAATTCACAACACCTGGTACAAAGGAAGTACTCAACACATGTATTGTTGAATAAATAATATTTATATAATGACTTATTTTAAGGACGGGAACAGAGGTATATATACCTCTAAAAAGACTCTTAGCACACCCTGCAGTCTGAATAAAATCTATCTGCTTTAGGAACTATTTCATGGTAAGAGGAGGCACTATGATATGATGTGGGAAAGAGACGAGAACGTGGAGTCTGCCAGGCCTACCAGCTCATGCGCTCTCACTGCCAACGCTATCTGGTAAAAATTATTTAATCTCTCTAAAACCCAAACAAACCCACTGCCAGTGAATCAATTCTGACTTATAGCGAGCACTCCGCTGCTACCGAAAGGTCACCCATTGCGCCACAGGAGAAAGATGTGGCAGTCTGCTTTTGTAAAGATTTACAGACTTGGAAACCCTATGGGGCAGTTCTCCTCTGTCCTATAGGGTCACAGGAGTTAATCTCTCTAGGCCCTGTTTTCTTCATCTATGATACAGGACTGCTACCCACCCCTTCCTTGAGGGGGTGGAGATGATGAAATTAGCAGAGTACTTGGGACAGAATAAATGCTGTTCATCATCATCATCTGGAGGTTTCCAAGAAGTAAGAAAGTTTGTGAAAAATGTAAAGCAAATCACTGAAAAGAAGTGTATTAGCAATAATTCAGGTTCTCAATGACTGTCTAATCTCCCACCTACACCTGCTGCCCAGTGCTCTGGGGCTGAGGCAGGAAAAGGGTTGCATACAGTGTGCAGATTTCTTCCAATCTTCCTATTTTCAGTTTTATACCTCATCCCTTCACTTCCCTGGGACGAGTGTCCCCAAGTAAAGAGCATCGCTGATTCTATTTCTGGAAATACTCCACCTCCCATTTCCTGCTAGGCTGGGGGAAGGGTGGTTGCCTGACGGGAGCCAGATGGAGGTGGGGACTAGAGGTTGTTTCTGACGTAGGCACTCAAAACAAAGTCCCTGTTTTTGGTCCCTCCTCACTGTTGGCTTCTCCAGAAACTGTATCTCCAGTCGCTAACCCTTTCTAGAGTTGGGGTGGGGACAGCTTTTCACCCGTCTCTTCCTCTGCTAAGTTATTTACCATTCCTCCATCCACTTTCCCTCTTCATACACTGCGGTTCTGGGTTATAGATATCTGCCACTTTCAACAAAGCAGTCTGTATGTTTCTTGTTATTGCTATTTTTAGGCAATATGAAAGCAGATAGAAAGTCTTTATGTTTCTATTTTTAATGGAAGTTGTGGTGCCGTTTTAGAAGCCAATGCCTCTCTCTCTGAAGGCAAGAATTTTAGGAATCTTTTCTCCACCACGACGAGCAGTAGGGGACTAATAAACTACTGGCAGACCAATAAATGACTTATCTTAATCTTTGATTCCAACTAAATTCACTCACACTAAACATCCCAATCATTCTGAATGTTGAATCTATGACTGTATATTAGTATTCCTTTAACCAGGAAATTTGAGATTTTACATTAAAAAGATTTGTTGAAAGTATGAGCATTATACATTCTAAGATACAAAGCTGTTATCTGACTTGCCCCCAGCAGCCTTCCATTCACAAGGCTCTGAGGCATTTTCCTATTTAATAATAAAAAATATAATTTATAATAAATGTGTAACTTTCTTTGAGTTTCTTAGTGATAGTCAAGAAATTATAGAGGTTTCCCCGAGTAGCTATGTTTCATTCTAATCATGTCATATTTTTACTGGATACATGACTGCCATCAGATGCTGTCCTTAACATATGCCTGCAGAAGAAACCTGCCTTTTCAAGCAAAACAGTGCAAAGAACTTTAATATCGATTCTACCCCGAGAAGCATCTTTTTATGTAAAATAATCCCTTTTGATATCAGTTGGCCACCCCTCCTGATTTTTGTCCTCGCCATCACTAACGTCCACTACCACTCTCTCTGAAAGCACATCAATTCTACCAGCCTCATCTGTCACCCATCATTTGAACAGACCCAAATTTTCCCACTGTTGATCTTCAAGCTCCACCCAGTCCTCAATTTCTGTCAGTTCACCAGAACATTTCCATCTGGAAGTTTCGCCATCATTTCAAACTCCTTACGTTTAATAAAATCAAGCATTTTACCATAGCTAATTGGTTCTCTTAATTTTCTAATGTCTTTCGTTGAGCAAAACCCTGACGGTGCAGTGGTTAAAAGCACTCAGCTGCCAACTGAAAGGCTGGTGGTTCAAATCCACCAGCAGCTCCACCACTGATATTAAGATGATCTTCCTTTCATACCTTTCTCCTTGGTGGGACCCAAGTCTTTGGTAGCCTGGTATTTCCCCTCTTTTGGAAAGAGATGCCCCCCAGTCTGATTTCCATGCCTTTCCCCCACTTTCCCACAGGCACCTGGCTAGTATTCTAATATGGAGCCTATCCTACTGCATTATAATCTTCCGTTTACTGATCTCACTACACTGTAAGTCCCCTAAAGACGGAGACTACCACCTCTGTAGTCACAGAGTAACCACACTGCCTGCTACACAGAGGTTACTCAGCAAACATTGGATGAATAAATAAACAAACAAATTTAAGGTCTTTCAAAATCTGGCTCCAGCCTACATTTCTCCCTTGTATTAGTCTATGTATCACCTCTATTCCCAACTTGAAAATTCTGACTCTTCCTGATCAACATCTGTGCCACTCAGTACAACACAGGCTCAACAATACCTAGAGACAGCCATGAAAACTAAGTTAGATTATTTCAAGGTACCGTTTAAACTCTTCAACATCTCTAATGAATGTTTAAAAGAGAAATTATTTACAAATACTCAACAAAATACTTAAATGTCTAAGCCCACTATCTTAATGACATACTTGAATAATTATGAACCAAAATTATATACAATCTCTCAAGGGAAAAAAATCTCTTCTAAAATAATCTAAGCAGTAGACTTTCACTTCTAAAACCCTTGCTGGAAATGGAAAATATGAGGTTTAGCTGATAATATATGAAGATAATCATAGCTGGAAGGGACTTTAAGGCTTATCTCCTGCAATCACTCACCCTAAGCTTCAGCCCCCTCCATGGTACTCAAGTGGCAGGTCAAGACATGTTTGAATATCTCCAGTGACAAGGGACTCATGAAGAACAATCATGCAGAGGGGAAAAGAAGGGGGTTCAAGTGATATCCTTGACCTTCAATTTTCCATCACAGGAAGCCCTTTAAAATTGACCATTATGAGAGCCACACAATTCTTATTTATACCTCCCTTCTGATAAAAATTTGACTAGTAAGTAGTTGGGGTGGAGCATGGGAGGACTGATAATTAGCTTGGGGCACTATTTTCTTATACGCGTGGTTTTAACAGATCCATACATATACAATGCTTGTTAGTAAAAATCTGTTTAAAAGATACTTACCCAAGATCTCATGATAATCACTACACATATTATGGTGAATGCATAGTGAATATTGTACAGAATACTTTTTCAATAGCATTTGATGCTGTTCTTGACTCTTTTCCTTTTTTCTCACCTTATCAAAAGCTGGTCACCAAAGGTACTGAGGGCACGGCAGCTTAAAGTGCTTCCTTCCAGAAGTCACCTACTCTGTGTAAGTGTTAATAAACTATCATTTCTATACCATTATTATACCTAATAATTAGCAAATCAGCTAAGCCCTCATTTGTGGAGTTACCAAGTTTCCTCAACAAATAAAAGGGAAAATAATACAAAAGAGAAAGTAGACAATATAAAAATACTGCATTTAATTGTCTTAGAAATATCAACTCTTGGTCATCAGAGACGGGGTAGAAGGAGGAATAAGGAGATCATCTGACACAATTACAAAAACTATCAGAAACATTAAGAGATTATTCAAATTCATACGAAAAAAAGAGAAATATTTTTCTTATCAGCAAATCGCAGGTATATCGTCTTTTACCATAGCAAGTTAACCTCAAAGGAAAATATTTCTAACAGAATTTATTCATTAGTCATCAGTTGTTTTAATCAAATCTTAAAATAAAACAACACAATAAAATGTAGCACAGGAATCCCAATGTCTCAAACAGCAGAGCTCTACCTATTTAGGGTCAGAAACAAGGAGTGGGGCTTCATGGAAGTAGCTGGCGTATTTGTTAGTCTTAGGTTTCTAGACTTAAATTGAATCAAAACTGCCAAGGGGATTGCCATTTACCAGTTCTGTCTCTATGCATATATATAGTGCACATACATAGATGGGAGTTGTAAAGTGAATGAAATACAGGGCCCAATACCAGTGAAACATACATCAGATACAAACAAAATTCATGGACACAAAGGAGAACTATAACAGCAAACAATATTATGTAAGAACACCAGTCAAACTTAAAAAAATGAAACAAACGTATACAACGTGGTTACTCACCAAAACAGAACTCTGCCTTTGGCCTTAGCTTAGTTGCATCGCTAACCTGACCGGTAAAGAGAGATGAGTCACTCACTTGTTCGTATGCAAACTGTAACTGACCTTAAATATTGCCTAAACTTCCACATGTATGACTTCCCAACAACCATACACAGACAGCAGATACATCTAAAGTTAAACTTTAAAGGCAACTGAAAAAGAGCTATAAATTAAATATAGGATCCCAGTGCCAATGGTAAGATGTTTAAAACAAATGATATCTCCACATCTTCTCTAAACAAACTTGATTTTTCTTCAAAGGAAATGTGAAGAAGTTGAGAGTATACCAGTAAGCTTTATGTCACACATACAAATAATTTGACGTAAATTTTGAAACGATCCTCAATAAATACAGAAATTACAAATTCTTCCCAAGTTGCATGTTTCTAAATTAACCGGGAACTATAAGAAAATACTGGTGGTGGGAGAGGGGGAGATTATGTAGTTAAAGATCATAAATCCAAAAGGCATTAATCTGCTATGAGGAAATCACCTGGCACTCAATTCCCTTAGAACAGAATGCCCAGGATAATGGGGTCACTTCCTCACACAGAGAGCATGGTTCATTCTAGAAGGTGAAGCAACTTGCCGCCCCTGCTTGCTGCTATCCATTCCTTTAAGCGAGCTAGCTCTCCTGGAAGCTCACTCATGACCGCTGCTCTGCTGCTGCCTAGTGTTAAAATTCCTAGTGGTAGCATCCGTTTTTGTTTTTTTAATTTTTTGTTTATTGTACTTTAGATGAAGGTTTGCAGAACAAATAGTTGCTCATTAAACAGTCAGGACACATACTGTTTTATGTGTAGCATCCATTTTGCACCTTCAGATGGAATTCTAAGTCTGGGGTTCCTGACCGATCCTAACGACAAATTCACAGGTCTGATTCACAATGAAGTCTGTTCCAGGAATAAGCTCTGGAAAAAAAGTGGCATGTCTAAAGTACAGTACAAACTGTACAACCACTCAAACTTCAGACAACTGAAGGACAGACATAAAAGTGAATAGAACTTCACAGAGAAGAGGCTGCATTTTAACAGGGGAGCAGTGGAGGAGGGGAAAGCAGTGGGCCTATAAATCTGCCTGCTTTACTCAGCTAACTCTTTACGAAAGAGCTCCCATTTTAAAACACAGGCAACACGCAATTGATACAGACAGATCGACAGTCTCTCCCTTAGCACCTATTCCATTAAAATGGACCTTTCCCATCACTTCACTGACAGTCAAAAATGCTTGGCAGTGTATCTGTTTAACAATATACATATACCAGCAATATAATCAAGCAAATTGGGGGTCTAAAATTTATCTTACCATGAAATTCTATGCTTCCTAATGATCATCCCTATAAAACTAAATGCTACTTGGAAGCATTTTTAAACGTCTTGATTTACAGGAACAGTTAAGGTATACTTAAATACTATATGTCTTTCATAAATTTATATAATACGGCTTTAACAGAAAATATGTTTCCCTTTAAATATGTAATCTTTGTTGTCCGAGGGCTGATTTTTTTCTTTTGACCACGGAGAAGCAATAGCTCTACTGAGATACTGATAAACTTTATTTTTAAAAATATCTGTGTTATAAACAGAGGCACATGTATCAGTTGGTGTTCTGTTGAAGTGATCTATCCATGTTTAAAATTTATCCCAATATATACAAATCCTAATTTATGCATAACACTATGCATATGCATATTATTTAATCTTACTGTGTTGCTATCTTTCACATCTTACATTTTAAGCCATCAAAAACTTTTATTGCTTTTGTGTAAAACACAAAAAACCCCACAGGGGTTGTTAACCAATGTCATAAAACAATATGTGTACTACTGTTTCCTAAGAAACTATCTGTTCTGTAAGCCTTCACCTGAAGTACAACTAAAAAAAAAAAGCCATCCTTACAATTATTCAAATGAATAATTATTATTTCTGTTAAAGCATCATGCTATTACTGGTATGGAATGAAGAATTCATAAAGCATTTTGATTAAGCACCAAAAAAAAAAAAAAACTCCCACAGGGCTAGCTCTTCAGCGTATCTCAGTTTCCAAAATAATAAGAGAAAATGAGGAAAAGAGCTACCTGATCAATATTAAATCTAAGCTTTTGAAAAGAAAAACAGTATTGCAAAAATGCCAGAAAAACAAATCAACAAACAAGAAAATGAAAATTAGCAAAGACAAAATGAAAAGAGGGAAAAACCATCCTTTTCAATACGAAGGTCCTCATTTTCTTCAAACAAAACAAAAAGAAACAAAATGTCAAAGGTAATAGGATCTAAACGTTAGAAACAGCTTAAATAAACGTAACAGAGACTTAGAAAAATCTCCAGACTTTCCCAGGACAGATCCTAATTGTTAGCTGACTTCTTTCTGGTGTTCGTGCACCTGGACACAAAAGTTAATGTTGCCTTTTGCAATTTGCCACATCCTGTGAATTAACTTCATCAGCTTAAAGAACTTCCTAAACATAATAAATCAGGTATTGCTGTCAGCATGATACAAACCTAAATATCATCACTGGTTGACAGACACACAAAGGAAACTGCCCCTTCTATTCACACTCACATCCTGAGGGGTTTGAATTCGTGCGTGAATATAACACAAAGTATAAAGACTACCTTTGAAATGTAGGTGAGTTTAATGGCTCCAACACGTGATGATCCAGAAGGTAGGTTCTGGAAACAAATTAGTGATGTATAGTTAATATGCAACATCATGAATTTATTCTATATTACAATGTTCCATACAAACTAAGTTAAGAAATTAGGTTCTGTAATATTAAATTTTACAAACCAATTTTTTTCAGTTCTAGTATTTACTAGGTCTGAAATCAAGATGACAACTTGGATAACAAAAACTGAATCCTACTCTGTTGCACCACAATGCACTCTACAGCTAAAAGGCTATTTTTTTACCATTGTAGCTAAGGTAGTTTTCTTTTTCATTACTTTAAATAGCCATAAACAGTATCAGAGTTTGTTCATGAAAGCAATAGGAAAAAACATTAGAGACACATAAAACAAACACAATTGTAAGAAATTAAAAAAAAAACTATACATATTATTTGGCTGTGTTAAAGCTGTATTTCATCTTACGTATCTTTGAAAGAAATGTATTGGATTTCCCCCCATTCAAATGGTTTACTATTTATTATATCATATTTAACCTACATAGATACTTTTTTTCAAAAAAAATCATTCATACATTTTAAATCATACGCAGGGAATGTAAATAATGGCACTTTTATACAAAATATTTTTATTCCTCTTCCCTTAACAAGTTGGGAATGTGGTTTGGTCACCAAAAAAAAAGCTAAGGGTAAAGAATTCAGACGAGGGAGAATCATTTCTGGTTGAGACTACCAAAAAAGACTTAAGTTCCTCTGTGGATGAAAGGCATTTAAGCTGAACCTTGCAGAATTTTGGAACATGAAGTCTGGGAAAGAAAATATTCCAGGCAGAGAAGACAGGTGAACTACAGCAAGCAGATGAGGACGCCCAGAAGCTCTGTACTGGAATGGGAAAGTGAATGTGCTGGGCTGTGACATAGGGCACATAACAGGGTTGTATACAAAACAACAGTTTCAGAAATTAAACTGAGAACCTGATCACAGGGGACCTAAATAAAAAATAAAGTAGCCAAGAGTTTACATTGTTGAGAATCTGAAACCACTGAAGAAGGCTTTTGAGTAGATCTGTAATCAAAATTTTGCTTTAATTAATAATTCTGGTAATATAATGATGTAGGCAGAAAAACCAGATAAAAGAATCTGGGAAAATGTGATAAAGAACAGAAATGAAAAGACCAGTAGAAGGTTTCAAAAGCAAAACTGCACAACCTTGATTTTCAAAGTTACCTTAGATGGAGATTAAGCAGGATCAACTTTTTAATTGTCTTTACACTAATGTACATTAAAAAAGATCTACGGCCGCCTCATGAATGGTTAGGAGGTACCTCCTCAGATGTGTATTAGCTTACCGGATACAGTTTATTATATGGAAGCCTAAACATTTCAAAGAGTTAAGATTCCTAAGCATGAACTGGTTATTGCTGACAGGAACACATCTTTTGAAAACTTTCACTCCTATGTATAGTAAAACTGCATTCTGTTCTGCTTTAAACTATGTACAATCTTCCAAATACAAATCATAATAAATGTTAAACAATATTGTAATTTTTAAAGTATAACTTTAAAAGGTTAGTTGTATTCATATGCATAATGTTTTATGTTTAGAGGTTTAGGGTTTTTTTTTTTTTTTTTTTTTTAAATTTTAGGCTCTTTTCCTGATAAGGAAATCAAATGTGAAAATCCCCTAACTACAAACAAAGTTATTCTTCCAAACACTGCTACCTTTCTATTCAAGATCATTTTTTTCTTTTAAGTCTTCCATAAGTCTATTAACAAGCTGAACAGAGCGCTAAGCCTTTGGGTAGAGAAGAGAAATGAGAAACCAAAGCGTGAGGCGAGGGGTCACAGATTAAACAGTGGCACCATACAGGGAAATGCAGGCAGCTGGGAGATAAAGGAAGTTCAAAAGACCTAGTTTCTACAGACCAGCATGACTGCTGCAAGTTCCACTGGACAAATCTGGGACTCAAAGTTTGTTATTTGACAACAATCAATCAATAAGCAATATGACATTTAATATAAAAACGGAAATAAGCCATTTGTCACTTATAAGTTCCTGAACTCATTTTTGCCAAAAATAGTTTTTCCAGTCTCTTCAAAGTCATTTCCTATTACAGCTATTTAATTATTTAATTTTCTACCATTACCCACCCAACTACCTAAGCAAAACCTGGACAGCGTCAAATTGAAAGCAGTGATCAGAGGAAGAAGTGGCTCCCTAAGGACAGGTAAACTAATTTTCTTTCATTACCAGGGTTATTATATCAGTATAGCCACGTTATAGCACCTTGACTTAACACACCTAGATTGAACCACCTGTTAATCGCCATTTTTTAGTAGATCAAGATGGCTGAATATTGGCAATTTCATACGGTTCAACTTAATAATCTTACCAAGACATTTTACTGAAGTTTTTCATGATAGTCTGGTGAGAAATCAGTTTTAAAATGAGCTAGATGATTTATGCTGATTGAACAAAACACACTCAAAGAGTCTGTGTTAACGGATTAATGTTGACTGGGGGGGAGGTATGCTACAGAATTCTACACTCAGTTCTGCCCTGCCCAACATATTTATTATTAATGTCTTAACTGAAGAGATATGTCTTACTCATTACATTTAAAAATGATACAAAGCTGGTACTGATGGTTAATGTGCTGGTTGGCAGAATCAAGATTTTCATAAACTGAAATGCAGACATAAAATTAGTAAGAACAAACTGAATAAAAACAGGTATGAACTCCTACACTTACGTTCAGAAAAGCCAATGCACTAATTATGACAAGAACCACAACCCACCGCCATCAAGTCGATTCCAACTCATAAGGACCCTATGAGACACAGTAGAACTGCCCCACAGGGTTGCCAAGGAGCAGCTGGTAGACCCAAACTGCCCATCTTTTGTTAGCTGCCAAACGTTTAACCACTGTGCCACCTGGGCTCCAATTACAATACAGAGATCTGGCTAAAAACAGTTCATGTGAAAAATACCTAGTTGAGTGTAAATCTTAACATGTACCCTCCCTGCTAGAGCCCAAGTAAACCAACTCTTCTCCAAATAATGTCCCAGGCTTTCTTGCCTTCATGTCTTTGCTCATGCTACTCTTTGAGCACTGGAATACCTACTTCACCTCTTGCTCAAAATCTTACCCATCTTTCTAAGTCAATTTCAAATGTTACCACCTTCATGAAGACTTCAACTCTTTCTGCTAGTTATAATCACACCCTTCCCTTTGAATTCCAAGTGTATTTCATTCTAGGTACTGAACATTTACTATTTTGTACTTATTTTCTTTTAGTTCTGGTAAGTGGGAAGAACTGATAAAAAGAGAAATTCTGAATCTTATATGAAGACAGAAAAACACTTCAAGAAAAATTCAGGAGAAACCATATATAAGTCAACTAGACCTTATAAAGAGAGAAGCAAATCTGGGAGAGAAAATGAGCAGAATTGTGGAATAGCTTAAATTTTTATAACCCCAAGAGTGAGGAGAACCAGGAACTACAGTCTAGTAAATAGTAATCGGAGGGAGTCAAAGGTGTCTAAGTTAGCTTCTACCTTGGGAAAAGGAGTTTGGGAGAGAATTGTGCCACAGATAAAGATACTGGGCCATGAAAGGAAGGACTCTGACCTATGTAAAAAAATGCTAAGCATGAACTTTTGATTTCGGCGAGCCTGTTGCTGCTCCCACTGATTGGTCAAATCAATAAAGGTAATAATCGTATAGTGGCATAGCCAGGTTACTACCACCCCAGAAAGGTGGTTATACCCAGAGATAAGGGAGTAGAACAGGGAGCCAATGAGCTCTATAAGAATACAGATAGAGAACAGACACTTCCTGGTAAAAACAGTCTCATACAAAGTCAGTACTTAAGTAATAAAAGCTGAATTAAAATATTAACTATCCTCCAGAATTTGAAAGGCTGCATGTGGGAAAAGGGCTAAACTTACTTTACAGAGAACCAAGCTTAATGGGGGAAAAACTAGGATTAGTAGAAGATATAAGGAACTAGATTCTGGCTCACAGAAAAAGTTATTGAACCTGTCCCAAATGCGATCAATACATTTTAGTAATGTGTAGTTCACACAACAGCTAAAATACAAATAAGGGATAGATGGGTTTCTTGCATTGAGGAGGAGGTTGAATTTATACCAAGGTGCCTTCCAACTCAAATTCTGTTAAAAAAAAAAAAAAGAGATATATGTATATATGGCCCTGGTGGCACAGTGGTTAAAGAGCTCAGCTGCTAACCAAAAGTTCGGCAGTTTGAATGTACCAGATGCTCCCTGGAAACCCCATGGGGCAGTTCTACTCTGTCCTATAGGGTCGCTATGAGTCAGAGCTGACTCGATGGCAACAAGTTTGCTTTTTGGGTTTTACATGCCCACTCCTCACTTATGGATGTAGTTAGATTCCAAAAACCAGGTAATTATGTAAAAACTGGCATTATGTGAAAATGGAGGATGACCACATCAGAACACAAAATGCAGGATGACTACACCATTACATAACTGTCAAACCACTGAGAATCACAGCTCAGCTAAGCTGACACACAACCTTAACCATCACAGCCAGCGTTACTCTCGCCTCACATCTCAGCGTTTGTTACTGCCAGATGTACATCATTAATGCGCAAAACAGTCTGATAGTAGACTTTTTACGATCGTTGTAAATATAAAATGTCGGGTAATGACATAATTGATAAGTGAGGAGTAGGTGTACGTGCTTTTGGTCTTAATATTCTGCCTAAGAGTTGGCCTGATGGTATGGACCATCAGGATTCCCTGATACTTTCATCACTAGTTTTGCTTACTTTACTTTTACGCCTATTTTATTACTGGCCTTTCTCTGACTTCAAATAAGATAGCAGGGGCTGAGGGGTGCAGAGTAGGGGAGTGGAGCCAGTGGACATAAATCCAAATAAACACTGTTAAGGAAGATAAATCCGAAGGCCTGTATAGTACACCAAGTACTCTACTAAACAAAACTTTTATACACTTTTAAAAGGTAACACTTTGGGTTTTACAAACCTGTGGATTATCCATGTACCATACAAAACTATCTTCTCTGGTATCCAGTATGAAGTACCTTCGAAGAAATTTCCCACTGTTTTCATTTTCTTCAATGTCTAGAAAACCACAAATGCGATTCTGTCGATCCACATAAGGCATCTCTGAGCTTGAACATTACACTGTAACATAAAAATATTAACAGTAAGCGTCCTATGACAGAAGTACTTCCCAGTGGACTTTATGTACAAAATGGGCTATGATTCAGCTTGTCCAACAAAGAGCCTGCTTTCCACCATTAGGTGGGGGGGCTGGTGAGTGTGAACACACATAAACATCTGAAGCATGGGCAACCATCACTTTTGAAATTAAGCTTATTATAAGCGGTTACTAAATTGAACAGTTCACCTTGATGTGGGCAAAGGAGAGCTCCTCCCCTCAGGTGAATAATTTACTTAACTTTTTTCTAAACAAACCAAAGTAAGCCAAAAACTTAGCTATCTAAACTTTCATTTCCTCATTTATAAATCTAGATAATGGACCTTTCAGATTCTTTTAGAATATTTTTTAAGTTTGCAAAATAACAACAATAATAGTTAACATTCACTGACCACTTAGTATATGCCAGGCTCTATGCTAGATTCTGTCCCAGGCATGACCTCGTTTAATCCTAAAACAACCATATGAAGTAGGCATCATCATCCCCATTGCACAGATAAGAAATATAACCCTAGAGGTGAAGTCACATTCCAAGGTTACAGAATAAATAGGTAATAAATCAAAACTTGAACCCAGATTCTTGGACTCTAAAGCTCATACACTACACCATAATCTCTCTCAAAAACCCTTTGAATTGTTACAACTAAAATGAAACGAAATAAAATGAGCTAACATCATGAAAAGAGAGCTAAGCGGGTACTATGTAACTCCTCATGAAAGACACCAACATCATCTACGAAATAGTTACATAACCAAAAAAAAAAAAAAAATTTTGTCATCTGTCCAGATGAAGTCTCTAGATTCCCTATGCCCAACTACCAACTCACTGGAACCAAGAACGCAGGGGAACACATTAAACTGTACCACAAGGATTCAATCAACAAAAGCCAGTCTGTGGGGAACAACAGGATAAACAAACTAGTTTCTTTAGGAAATAAATTACTACAGGAAAGAAAGAGGGAAGTTAGAGATTTAAAAGAGACTTAAAAGGCATGAGCATATTCTGGTTTTAAAGTACTGAAACCTTTGTAGTACTAATTAAAGTTAAAAACCATGACCTGTGGTAAAATGCAGTGTTTCCAACCACTGTTTCTCTAAAAAACATAGATATGTGATTCCTTCCTGACGGGACATTTACTTCTAATCTGCACAGATGTTCCTATTCTGGTACTTCTCTGGCCAGCAGCAACACATCTTTTAGCAATCCGAATTTATGGAACTAATTCTTCATTTAAAGGCTCAAGACGAGTTTAACTCACAGTGAAAATTCAACTACCATACTCCCCAGTACACTGTGTATTTATATCACTATTCTGTGTGCAGGCAGAGATATGATCAAACGTATCAAAAAGTTTTAAACAAAACTACCCATGAAGTTTTTGTGTGTATGTTGTTATCAATCTGGCACTTAGAGATAAAAAGTTTTCTTTAATGAACTTATCTAAAGTTTAAAAAAATCCTAAGATGTAACTAAAATTTGAAAACTTAGCACACTATACGAATACATACTACAGGTGAAAAATGATAACTTACAGGATGCTTTAATGGCACTTTCTATAATGACTGTCCCAATGCACTTGTCTTGTTTCTGATTTTGAAAAAATAGACCAGATAAAGTATCTACTACTTGAAAAGGCTCAGGTGTCTTAGAATGCTCCCTCTGGAAGAACTCAGCTGCCATACAAGAACTCTGACTGCCATGTTCTGTGAAAGCTCAGCTAGTTCCATGAAGAAGCCATGTAGGCAGAGAGGTGGCCAGCCCATCTGTAACCGTCCCAGCCATCCCAGCGGAGTCAGTGAAGAGGCTGTGCTGGACAGCCAGCTCAGTCAAGCCTTCAGATGACTCCAGCCTCGGCCACCATCTCATTGCAACTGCATGAGAGACCCCAAGAGAGAAGTGCCCAGTGAGCCCAGTCAACCCAGAGAATAGTGAAAGAGAATAAATTGTTGCTTTAAGCCATATTTAAAGAAAAAACAAAAAAACAAAAAAACCTCAGGTATAAACCATATTAATATATAAAGCAATTAAGGAATTTTATGAACAAATACATTCTTCTGGATTTTTGCTGATGGCTTTTGACATTGCCGATAAAATTATCACCTGAAAGCTATCTGAAACTTAAGACAACACATTTTTAAATAATCTGTGGGTCAAAGAAGAAATTGAGAAGTTAAATTAGAAACCACTGTGAACTGACTTTATGTGCCTCCTGATGGAAGAATATACTACCACCTAAGAAATAGGTGGTAAAAAGATTGAAGAAAAATTGATGCCTTTGAACTATGGTGTGGGAGACGAATATTGAATATACCACAGGCTGCCAGAAGAATGAACAAATCTGTCTTGGAAGAAGTACAGCCAGAATACTCCTTAGAAGCGAGGATGGTGAGACTTCACCTCATGTACTTTGGACATGTTATCAGGAGGTACTAGTTCCTGGAGAAGAGTATCATGCTTGGTAAAGTAGAGAGTCAGCAAAAAGAGGAAGATCCTCAACGAGATGGACTGACACAGTGGCTGCAACAATGGGCTCAAACATAGCAACAACTGTGAGGATGCTATGGGACCAGGTAACATTTTGTTCTGTTGTACATGGGGTTGCTATGAGTTTGAACCAATTCGACAACACCTAACAACGACAGTGAAATAGTTTGGGCGAAAGGGGTGGAGGTGGGTGGGTGGGGCTAAATCTGATCAAGCCTCTAGATCCAACTACCAATTTATAAGAGAGAGGAAGAACATGTTAAATTATATCACAGGGATGCAACTGGCAAAAGCCAGACTCTGAGAAATTTCTCAGGACAAAAAGATGGTTCCTTCAAGTATAAATCCCACGGAAGTGGGGGGAAGGAGCTAGAGGAGAAACCTACATTTTAGAAAACACTTAAATGGGCATATGAACCATATGTAGCCTTAAAAAAAAAAAAAAACTACTTGATGTATTTAAGAAAATCAGAAATTTGAATATTGGCTGTGTATTTGATAGTATTAAGGAAATACAGATATGTATTTTTTCGGCATGATAATGGCATTGTGATTGTTTCCAAAGAAAAAGAGTCCTTATCATTTAGAGATATTTACTGATATATTTAGACCTAAAATAAACTGTTATCTGGGATTTGCTTCAAAATAATTCGGGAGGGGAGAATGGATGGGGCAGGCATGACCTAGGTTAATAGTTGTTGCTGTTCTGTGCCATCGAGTCGATTTCAACTCAGAGCGACCCTACAGGACAGAGCAAAACTGCTCCATAGGGTTTCCAAGGAGCAGCTGGTGGATTCGAACTGCTGACCTTTTGGTTAGCAGCCTGTGCTCTTAACCACTGCACTACCAGGGCTCTAGGTTAATAGTAGTTGGTGCTAAATGATGGGTACATGGGGCTAGTTACTCTATTCTCTCTGGTTTTGTGGATATTCGCAATTCTCCATAATGGGGGAAAAGACAATTCTACCACACAAAAATGTATACCATTTCTCACCTCTCATATTGGTAACAATGTAAAAGCTTGACAACATACTATGTTGGTGAGGCTATAAGAAAATAGTAACTCTCTTAAGTTGCTGGTAAAAATGCAAAATTGTACAACCCTATGGGAGTGCATCTGGCACTAACAACGTGCATTTTACCCTGTGGCCTAGCAATCCTACTTGGTATTGTAATTTTGAAACTATTTTATGTAATGATAGGATTTCATGTATATTATAGAATAAACATATTGATGCTATCGATTATATTTAAAATAAATTAATAAAACATTTACTTTTTGTTATCAGGAACCAAGTTTTTCATGTTAAGACAAAGGAGGTACAAATAAAAAGGGGGGGGGGAACTCTGTGCAATGTTAAATCTGATTCAGGAATATTCTGATATCATGATCTTTGAAAATATGATAAAAAAACAACAACAACAAAACAAATGCATTGCTGTCAATTCCAACTCATAGTGACCCTTTAGGACTGAGAGGAACTGCCCTATAGGGTTTCCAAGGCTGTAATCCTTACTGAAGCCGACTGCCACATCTTTCTCCTGAGGAGCAGCTGGCGGGTTTGAACCGCCGATCTTTCGGTTTGCAGGTGAGCACTTAACCACTGCATCACCAGGGCTCCAAAAATATGGTAGTAATAGAAAATCACTTTACAATCCCAGTACGTTCATTAATTTAAGAAAGGATCATCAAGGAACGCTAAAATCAATGGGTGAAGGGGTGTTAGGGAACAGAATACTTCAGTCTCTAAGTATCACCCCACACTTAGTCTTTCTTCTTGGAGCACTCTCTTCGTCTGGTTTCACTGCTCTCTCAGTTGTCCTCCTACCTCTCCAGCCACCTGTCTCCTTTGCTGATTCCTCATCTCCCAGGGCTCCAAGTGTTGGAAGGTCCCAGTGACTAGTCTGTGGACCTCTTCAATCCTTTGGTGCTCTCACTCCACATCCAACTCATCAGCAAATCCTGTCGGCTATCTTTAAAAAGTACCCAGAAGCCAACTACTTCCCACCACTTGCATTGCTGCCACTGTGGTCCAAGCCATTGTCATCTCTCACCTGGATTACTGCAAATTCTGCCCTTCCCCCACTTGAATCTATTCTCAACACAGCAGGGAGAGTGGTCCCATTTAAACATATAATTACTATTCAATCAGCACTTACAGCCTTGCTACTTGCCAACCACTGTTCTAAATATTTAAATACACAGGGCCACTATGAGTCGGAATCAACTCCACAGCAACGTGTTTATTTAAATATTAACTGATTTAATCATCACAACATTGTTTTACAGAAGAGAAAACTAAGGGACAGAAGATTTAAAAAAATAACTTGCCCAAGGTCACATGGCTAGGCAGCGGCAGAGCCAGGATTCAAACCAGGGGAGCCTGGCTTCTTCAACACTATGTAACGTCACTCTGCTCAGAACGGTTCAGTGCAGTGGACTCAACCTTGGCTGCTCATTAGAATAACCTGGGAGTT